TTCTGGAAGCGACTCTTCTTCACAATGCTGTTAAGGCTGCGGTCATCTCTCTTGGTTGTGCAGCGTTTCCTGCCACATTTCCCCCTTCCAACAGACTTTTTGTGGATGTGCTTTGAAACTGCACTCTGTGAACAGCTTGCTCTTTGAGAAATTTCTTTTTGTGTCTTACCCTCCTGATGGAGGGTGTCAATGACGGTCCTCTGGACAGCAGTCAGATCAGCAGTCTTCCCCATACTTGTGATTTAGTTTACTGAACCAAGCTGAGTGTTTTTCAAGGCTCAGGAAACCCTTGCAGGTGTTTCGAGTTAATTAGACGATTCAAGTGATTCGTTGAACACCCTACTAGTATACTTTTTCATGATATTCTAATATTTAGAGATAGGATATTTGAGTTTTCTTAAGCTGTATGCCATAATCAGCAATATTAAAATAATAAAAGGCTTGCAATATTTCAGTTGATTTGTAATGAATCCAGAATGTATGACATTTTTGTTTTTTTTAATTGCATTACAGAAAATAAAGAACTTTATCACAATATTCTAATTTTCTGAGACAGTCCTGTATATGAACTATGAAATGAACTAAAACCCTTGTAAAATAAAGGTCTTTTTTTGTTGTTGGACAAAGTACATGGTGCAAATATAGCAACGTACATACCATAGTGTAGCTGTCAGATTATAAAATTGTCATTGTAATTTTAACCTGTATTATAAATAATAATTTAGCTTTAAAAGTCGTTTTTTTTTCAATCCCAGCTTTAAGTGATGCAGCTTAAAATGATCACTCAATGCAGAACGGTTCTCCAGCTTTCAGAGCCTCCGCAACACTTCACTGATCGTTGTTTGTCTTCCAGGTTTGATCCCTGACAACATAGCATGTAAATGCCCTGCTGACTGGCACTTTGCTCAGGAATTCAATTTGACAAATGGAGCATAAAATCAAGGCAAATAAACACGATAACATTCAATGGAGAACATTTTATTTTTCCTTGCTGATCAACAGACGGTGCTGAAAACACAAGCCACTACTAATTATACTAATAGAAGCAATGAAGAAATATCCAATCCATTTTATTTCTATAGCACATTTAAAAACAACAGAGTTGAACAAAGTGCTGTGCATCAACTACTGTATAAAAACATAGCATAGATACATAACAAAAAGACAGGACATGAAGCAAATGTAAAACACGAGACAATGAAACCAGATCAAAAGCCACAGACTGAGGAACTCTCCTACATGACGTAAAAAAATACAAAACACCAGTAAGATAAAAACCCAAATTTAAAATCACAAGTGTCACCTGGTCTGTAAACGCAAGGGAAAAGAAGTGGGTTTTTAAACGAGATTTAAAAACAGGCAGAACTTGGAGCAAGGAGGGGCAATTTGTTCCATATCAATAATATGATAATCGATTATTACAAAAACAGAGATATTCTATTTGTAGCATGAGGGTAAAAACCTTTAGCAACGTGTTAAAAGTCGAGAGTGTAGACAGCAATCTTTATGGACTCCGACAACTCAGTGAACATGTGTTGAATTTGCACCAGGAAAGAGATTACACCTGTCCAACAGCAACAGATTCAGAAGAGAATGACGAGAAAGGAAATTAAAGCAGGCTGATGAAGACTCTTGAGATACGCAGCGAAGATCATACACATGATACGGACACACTACAATAGCTCCAGATCTGTTCACCGCCACAGCGTTTCAGCTGACGAGGGCCGAGACACGGGGAGACAAATACAATTTATCGTGACAGCTAATCATTTCTGTTAATCTGTGTGTCACGGGCTGCTGATCAGAGTCTTGGTGTTTAAGGGGATTCATTTTGGAAATATACGGAGATAAAGCCAAGCACATGAATACAAATAGAGCGAAACAAAAGGATATTATGAAAACTGCTGCCTGTCATTTTGGTCTCTGACAATTCCTCCCTTTCTCTCTCTCTTCCAGGTTGGGTGGAGCAGGAGACATATTATTAACATTCAGAAATGTCAGTTTGAATTGTGTGTATGTGGCTGTGTGTTTGTGTGCCATGAGTAATATTGCAAGGATCAGTTCACAAATCTGATTATCACAAAAATCACTGCTGAAAATAAGCTTTTGATTCTGTTTCTCAGAAAACATTTCAAAAGAACAATATTAATGCTGTGCCTTACATGAACTGTAACTGAAGTGATGTATCATGGCCTTTGTGGCTGTGGAGGAATACCGAATGTGGTTCGTCGTGTGAAATGTACCAAATAAAGTGTATTGCAATATAATATTCCTGGACATTGTTTTAATTGTTGTTCATTTGTTGTGTGAACTGTAGTATTCCTTAATTGGAGAACGTAGACTGTCAATTTCAACTTTACAATGCCACATCATTGTAATAATAATAATACATGTACAGTATAGCGCTTTTCTAGACACTCACTTTGACAGAGAATAATGATGTTTAATAAGTAATTATTTTTAAATCACTAAATCTGCCTTTAAGCGTATTAGTTCATGCTACTCAATGAGAACAGGCCACACTGAAAGAATAATGGATTTTAACACAAGAAAGATGTCAGTAAAAAACAAATACAAGACTTGAAAAGAAAAGAAAACAAGAATATAAATAGAATAAAAGATACACATTCGCTGTGTTTAATGTAAAGGAATCCCTCATATGTTGGTGACAATTATACACATCAAGTTAAACAATGTTATATATTTAGACTGAATTTTGGTATCGGCTTCAATATGCAGTGTGAGTCAGGCTCTGCTGTGCTTCCTGATAGCATCATCCATTATGTATGTCCTTGTGTCTTCTCTTCACTAGACACCCTTTACTTCACTGTCAAAATAGTCAACAAACTATGGACAGGCAGCAGCGCATTTTACTCCCAAACCAAACCTAAACCAGTTCTCTGTTTAAGCTAGTTGTTCAGAATGGTTTACAATACAAAAAGTCAATATTATTAAGAAATGAAATGACAACAAATGATGGTGTTTTGGCTCTCATGTAACCATCCTAAATCTTCTCTGGTATATATCAATACTTGATGAATTAACTATAGGACCAGGCTTTAGTGAACCAAGTCTATGGCAATGGCTGCTCTTGGCATCATACTACCTGTTTCCTATATTTCATTTGTAATCATCATCGTATCTTGGGGACTTTAAGGTAGAGGTTTGGTCACCAAAGTTTAAGCTTGAATAGTCATGTTGTACTGTAACAGTTTTAATCATCTTATCATTTCATTCGGTTGTCATTTTCGTCGTACTGCATTATTTCACTTTAGTATCTATTTATGAGGTTGAGCCGTGTAAATATGCTACATAAATAAGCTCAACTAGTTATTGATGATCATTGTTTATTAATGTGCCTATCTTTTTGATTACTTTTTAAATGGTTGGATATATTACATAGCAAATAGAAAAGCAGCACAACACTTTAATAACTGTTCAATCATCTGTTTGAAACTCACATATATCATATACCAATATTCCAATTACTGTAGTCTATTCTGCCCAATTTCTATCATATTCTGTTTCTATTATATTCTATTTGATTTGATTTACTTGTAGTATTTTACCTGTTTATTGTGTTGCACTGTTGGAGGAGCCTGTGACCTAAGATTTTCATTGTCATATATCTACACCGTAGCTATGCAGACATGACAATTAAGCCTTGTAACTTGAAACATGTGGGATTTTGCTTTGAAATATAACTATTGAAATTATCACAATGCCAATACTAGTTTGCTGATCAACTAGGCTACTAGTTTTAGCTCTTAACTCAAATAATAAAGCATCTATCATAGTATTTTATTGAAACCCACTGTGCTATTTATTTATATGCGAGCTATATTTCTTATATTGAAGCTGGAAAGGGGAGAGCAGGCTCACCATTATGAAAACATTTTAGGGTCTGTTATGAAATAGATGTGAAAGATGAACAAGCTCATAAATGTGAATGATACAAGCCTATCTGGATGTATTATAAGAATTTAGCCGATATCCTGGACCCAGCCTGACCTTAAAACAACCGTTTAAGGGAGGGATTGGGAATAACAACATCCGACTACGCCACTTCCGCTCACTGCCTGTCAAACATGGCGCTACTCCTAAGGTCAGTACATCTGTGCTACATACCGGTTGGGCTCGGGGAAAGCTTATTGTGTTCTTTGTAAGGGTTATCATGACAAATGGACACATTAACAGCACTGTGGCGTTACAGATGAGTTCATTACACCCGAGTGTTACTTTCTACTGTGGTTTATTTTCCCTATTTAGCGTAAATATGGTGCGACAGACGTTAGCTGGCGGGCTAACGCTAGCTGTTTTTCAGGTATTTTAAGCTAGCAGAAGGAGGACTTTGACACTTCTAATACTTATGTACGATGTCAAACGTTGTTATTTAGTGCCTAAAGCCGTTATATGGGTGTTGTGTGACAGGTGATAAACGAACGTAACAGGAAAGTGTTTGGCTTGTACCTGACAGGTTAGCAAGCGTTAGCTACATTGCGACGCTGCCGTGCCTTTACCAACAATGTTATAAAGTAAAGAGTCAAGTGCTTGTCGAACTTTGTCCACTTCATTGACCTTACGTTGCTGTTGAAGGTCATCACAGTGCACAACAGACGTATTAAACCAACCTTGATCTCGAGGAGTTTGCTTATTGTTACTTTGCACGATAGAGTCTGGTTTAGGCATAGGGGTCATTACTACATACTGACTCGTATTGCCTGCCAAACTGTTAATAGTTTTAAGACAACCATTGACCGATTCTGGCAATCAGAGCGGTACAGATTACCATGACTGAATATTAACTACATTATTATTCGGAACAACTCACAGGAGCTATGCTCCAAATCCTAGTTTATTTCGAACGTTTTGTAAGTTCTTGTTTTCTAGCATTGCTTATGTGTTGGGTTGAAATGGGTACTGCACATCCAAGAAACCCTTAAAGGTCCCATGTCATGGCCATTTCTACTGATCATAATTCCATTGTTGAGGTGTACTAAAATAGATTTATATTTTCCAAACTCACATTGGTTTCTCATACAGCATCTCTGTATAGTATGTGTATTCACTCTCTGTCCCTGTTGGAGCTCCTGCCTCCCCCCCTCCCCTCCCTATGAGCTCAGTGGCCGTCTGTGAGACAGCGAAACCCAGCCCGAACACACACACACCCGCAGGTGCAGCCTGGCTGTGAGTCACAGCCTTGCCGCGTCCCGCCGTCTCAGGGACGAGAAATCAGCGGAGCTGCAGCTGAGAAAAGATTGAGTGTGTGTGGCTCCACGGATTGGTCCATTTGGGTATGGGCACGTCACTGTACCCACTACCCAGGAAGTACACAATGGAAAAAGAGAAATGTCCAACGAGGCGTTCTGGGGCAGCATAGACAGGTATTTTCTGTGTTAGAGTTTTACTCGCTACAGGGTGTACTTTGAGGGTTTGTGACTCTGCAGACCGTCACACATGCAGAAAGAGCTACATAACACACAACGGGACGGGTAATACCC